CCATCCTTCCCTGACCCTGTGCTGGGGAACCTCTAACACGATGGCCAAACCAGGCCTCCTGGGCCTTCTCTGCTGGTCCTCGGTTCACCCGGCAGGACAGTCGTCATCCCGCCCCAGGAAGGGCTGGTGCCTCACTCAGACTGGTTTTGGAGCTTCTGGAGGTTAGTACTTAATTGGTCACATAATGTCTGAGACCTCAAAAAGTCACTAGCATATAGAAGGTGCTCCATAACTCCGTTGAATAAGTATTGTATGAAGAGTTTATAAACATTGCAATGAAATGATTTATATCAACAAATGTTTATTGAATTCCTAATTTCCTGGGCACTGTTTTACATGGGGGAATATACAGAGGTGAACAAGACAGATTCGGCCCCTGGAAATAGACAATAAACGTGTCTGACTGTTTTTGAGTTTGATTGCTGACCGCTTTCAAGCCCCATCTGTCTTTTTCCCCTTTTATCCTGCCTCTGGGCAAGTGGGTAAGAAAGCCCCTTGCTCAGACCATGGAAACCCCAGCAGTGCAGAAGAGAATTCTAATTCTGGCTCCACCCGCTAACCATGATGAGCACTACAGCCGCTCTCCCTTGCCTCCATGCAGGTTATTCTGAATTGCTCTGCTCTTCCCAGGAAGCCTCACATGTGTTCAATAAACCCTCTTGGTATCTGTGCGTCAGTGCAGCTGGTGGGGGACCGATCCTGCTGTCTGTGGGGCACCCACTAACACATGTAAACAAGTAAGGGATTTCAGATAATGGTCCATGTTATGGAAAAAACAAAATGGGACAGTGACACAAAGTGCAAGGAGTTCTGGGGGTCAAGGGATGGTGAAACGGTGAGCTCCACAGAATTACGTTATGTAACAACTTAATCTCTTAACCAAAACTCTACTTGATGTGGTGGGGACTGCCAGCTGTCTCCTAATGGTGCTTTCCCTTTCTCTGTAATAAGAAAGCTATAATAAAAATAATGCCTTCCTCCACTTTTAGCTGAGTATATGAAGTATATGACCTCCCAAAATAAAAATGACATTTCCCAGCCCCGCTTTTAGCTGGGAGCAGTCATGCGACTTAATTATAGCCAGTAGCATCAGGCAGATCCTCAGTCTTCTGACCAGATGTAGATTTGGTGGTTGGAGATCTAGTGGCCTCCCCGGTTCACGCACGGCATGACTGTGGGAATCAAAGCTGTGCAGCGCAAAGACGCAAAGGAAAGGAGTTTGGGTTCTTAGATTGTGGGGCACCACCGCTCTGCCTGCCTCCCTCCCCTTGACCCTCAAAGAGAAAACCACGTGTATCTAGTCAAGACACTGGAGTTTCAGGTTCTGCGCTTCTCACTTGAATTAACCCTAAACTGTATATTCGTTGAACATACCACTTTAGAGCCTATTTTCCTCTCTCTTAATATCTCTTACCAACTCTGTTCTCTCTACTTAGATCTAGTTCTTTTCTTCTTTTCCCTTCCCTCCTATTTTCCCACTTATTTCTGTCATTTTTTTCCTTAATTGAGCATTATGTAAAATTCAAATTATCTTGAAATAGTATATATTTAAAACATTAAAAAAATTAACTTTTATTATAGAGAATATAAAATACCCAAAAGTAGACAGAATAAAATACTGAATCCTTCTGTACCTACAACTCTGCCTCACCAATTACGAACCTGTGGTCAACTCATCCCCATCCATACCCTAGCTTCTTCCCCTTTCATACATTATTTTGAAGCAATCCTTAGATTTCATATTTTTATAGAATAAAGTTTCAGATCTCTCTATTGATTAAAAAGCAAATCAATCAATCTTCTAGAAATGAAGCTAAATTTCTAACCCATGGTTTTCTTCACTTCATAAAAACCATTGTTTTCCTATTGTCTTCTCAAGTATTAAACTTCCCATTTTCCCTCTTTGCTCCTCCCCTTCTTCCCCCCTTTTCTCCCCTTCTTTCCCCTTCTTCCTCCCTTCTGTCTGGATTTAACACATCTTTTGCTTATAGGGCCCTCCAATTTTTAAAAGAAGAAATCCATCTGATTTTCTCAATCATACTTGTAGCTCTTTTGATATACCTCTCTCCTTCAATTTTCAGCCACTGAGAATCTATTTTGCCAAAATGGCAGAGTTTACTCATTTGTAGTCCCTTCATGTGTTTGTGGTTTTGAAAAGTCACACAGTCCCACCCCCTACAAAAATAATAAAAACTGGCTACACTAGTAATACACAGTGGGAAAATATAATGAATAAAAAGAATCCATTTATAGTAATAATCAACATTAAGTATTGGGTATTATTTTAAACAGACAAGCCCTAAAGCCCTAATGATACTGAAGATTTGTTTTTATAACATTGAAAAGGCATTGAACTTTTACAGACCTGGGCCGTGAGGATATTTTCCCACAAAGCAGGCTGGAACTGTTTTGATATCACTCAGGCATAAGAATCAAGCACGCTTCTCACAGGCAGAGTGTAAACAATCTTTTGGAGGGAGTACAGTTGACTTGGATGTGGTAGAGGCAGATCTTTCCACAGAACAGGATGATTACAGAGTCTGTATCAAATTCTCACAGATTTTATTTGCTTTTATTTTATCTTAGTAAAAAAATTAATGTGTGACTTGCACCCTGTAACAGAATAAGAAGAACTATGACCAACCAGTGCCAGTGAATTTATGTACTTTTGGAAGCCTACTATGTTCCTGAGCATTACAAAGGTATTTCGCCTTTGGGCAGCCATGGGAGATATCATCTATCCCAGCACCCCACTGCTTTCAGCTATACCATGATACTGGACTTCACATCAGTAAGGCAATGTGGTCAATCATGTACCTGCAGCATGGTGAAAGAACTGTAATTGTCCCACATTGTATTTCTTTGTCTAGACCAAAGTCTGAAGTCTTTGAGAGCAAGGGCCTATTGCTTTCATTTCCGTATCTCAACACTCAGCTTGTAGACCAGACAGAGCAACAGTGAATGAGTGCCCAGGAACATTTTATGAAATGAGGAAATAGAGAAACCCTTTAACAAACCAGACAAAAACAGACAAAAAAAGAAACTGTTGCCGTTCAGGTTCATTTAGCAAGTTGGCACTTAATGTCTTAAAAGAGACATTAAATGAAAACAACAATATTTACATTTAGTGGTTCTTGGGAACATTTTTACTTTTATAATTTTCCTTATCCCACTCCATCCCAATACTAACCTTCTCAGCTTTTTTGACATGATACTAACAATTGCCGTCTCCTCATACTCTTAAAATTCTGTGTTCTCATTTCTATGCCCAAGGAGGGTTTGACTTAAAATTTCAGTCACAGAATTTAGTATTTAAGTCTATTTACCCATGATAAAGGTAGTAGAAGTGTTTTCCCAGAAAAATTAAGCTAATTATCTCCTGGGCTAGTGATTTTTAACTGGAGGTGAGAGATTTAAAACTTCTTATGATTTTGGGAAAGAAACTATTTAGAAAAATTGCATGTATAAGTAATACTGTTAGAGCAAATCATTGAGGGTGGGAGGGTGGAGAGAAGACAGCGCTGTAACTAGACATTCACCCCCATGTCTAGACATTCATTCCACATTTAAATATTTAAAATTTTCAGTAGCCTGTGAATACAAGAAAATTTATTACATTAAGGTAGGCTTTAGATATTTGACATGTAGCTGATATTTTCATAGTGTGAGAAATATCAAGCTGACATTATACTTTCTCTGTGATGATTACTTCCAAATGTCAGAGTACGAACTTATTCATGCGATTTCAGGCCGTAGGATAGTGTCAGTTTAAGAGACATTCATATGGACTTTTTTATTTAAACATGCTAAATAGAGTATGAAAAGCAGGTCCAGAAATCAAGAGAGAAAGGAAGACCAAAGAAGAAACCTATTGACAAGAAAATTTTAAATAGATTGATGTACTCTTACATTAGCTTCACAGACACCTTGCTGACAGTAGGCTTCAGCAACTGCTTCCTTATATTTCTGACAGTAGTCTTAATGTTCGTATTATTTCACTCATAGTACTTATATTGAATTTGAGAAATTAAAAATAAGATATGAACTATTTGTTTTTTTGTGGATTATCTTTAGTAAATAAGTCAAATAACTAAACTAATATTTTCTTACCACTTTTAATAGTAACATTAGACTTCGAACTAAAATCAAATAACTTAGTGATATTTTAAATTAAAAATTTATTCTCTTGTTCACTAAAGTCTTCAGCAGCTAATTAGGAACCTACTGAACTGCTGCTATCTTGGATATAACTCAAAGGAAGCTTTTTTTGTTTACTAAACAAATTGGCCACATCAGAGATAATTATGAGTTTAAATAAACCGTTGTCTTTCCAATTATTTGCACAACAGTGCTCTTAATTACTTGGGGGTCACTGAAATCCCATGGTATCCTCTGAAAAATCTCTCTCCTGCAGTCTATCTTGTTAGATTTCCTTTCTGTTCTTGGAAACCAGTATCATTCCCTTTTTAAAGTCCCTTTTTAGCACTAGTGGGAATGATGTTGAGGATGGTAACATGGTTTCAGAGTCTTAAGATCAGGCCTGTTCTGACTTCTGTAGGTCAATGACAGGGGTCACTGTGTAGCTATCTAAATTCCCTAATTTATTTAAAAAAAATGTTATTTCTGATGCAAACAAAAATTATGGGGCCTCCAAGAACTAGACCAGCTACCTTTCAGAGCTGCACAATTCTAAATTGTTATCTGAAAAACACATGGACAAGTAAAACATGCTGACTGATAGACCCATCTTATTTGGTATTGCAAATTCCTAAAGTTTAAGTGCTAGATTAAAGGATGATCATTTCATTATTAAGCTTCAAGAGTCACACTATTTTGTATTTTGTACTGATTGAAAATATGTCGTTTGCTCCGTTTATACCCTTGATTGTGGCCCCAAAGGCCGAGGAATTTCATTGGCCAGGGTCGGCAGGGAGGTGAAGCGAGGAGACAAATGGGAAACGTTATGACGTTGCTCCCAGCGTCTTGGCGCAGAGCTCCTCACAAGGTCCCAGCCACCCCAGTGACATCCTTAGAATGCAGGGCCGGCAGGTCCAACTCGCCCTTTTTGCGACCGTTAATAGAGGTCCCGGGAATCAGGTCCTGGTCCAAAGTCCCAGCGCCCGTTAAAGCTCAGCATCTGGGGGTTGTTACTGCTCCGGACCTTTTCTCGGCGTCGGGGACTCCTAGGTCACTGACAGCTCCACGAGGGCAGAGAACGTCGTCTGTTCTGTGACTGCTGTACCCCAACACCTAGGTTACTTCGAGCAGGAGGGCTAACCTCTTCTGGTCCCTTCCTTGCTTGCTGCTTTCTTCCTATACGCCAAGCCCCTTTCCTCCTGCCTGCCCTCCACCCCGGCAGCCCACCGCCGACTCTGGGCGGGGATGATCAATGTTCTAGGCGTGGGCTGAAGTTAAAGTATCTGGGGCTTTGCTGGAAGGCCTGCCTCCGTCAGGAAAGCAACGGCTGGGCTGAGCGGCTGCCTCTGGGAGGCACCCTGCCCGGGCCACGGAGCCGTCAGCCTCCTGGAAAAGTCCCCGAATGGGGACTGAGCCTGCCATCTGGAGTTGGTAGGCAGGAGCTTCCCGGCGGCACTTCAGGGCCTTTCGGTCCCCGCCCGGCCCGCCACGCGCTGAGGCGCCGCGGAGCGCCCTCCGGTGGCCGCCGGCCGCACTGCTCGTGACTGGTGGGGACGGCGGCGGCGGAAGGGGAGGCGCGGGGCCTACGAGGTCGGGCGGCCATGGCGCAGCCGGCGCGGGAGGAGCTCTCGGCCCTGGCCGCGATTTTCTGCGGGCCCAACGAGTGGGAAGTGCTGAGCCGCTCAGGTGATTACCCCGCGCGGGAGGGCCCAGGCGCCCTCCCGTCCCCGCCACCGAGATGGGCTTCCTGCCCCGGGGTCCGCACTTGGGGACGCGGCGGGTTGAATGATGGAGTGAAGCCCACCGGGACTGGAGTCGTGTCGCAGCAGGCGGGATAGGGAGGCGACCCCCGAGACGTGAATACGTCTCGCCCCAGCTGGCTACTCTGCAGTGAACCGCGACCGTAACGCCCGGGCTCGGGGCCGCCGGCCGGCCCCTGTGTCGCGCGCCGCCCCGCCCGGCTGCGTCCCCCGCGCGCCCCGCGCCCAGCCCTGCGCGCTCCCGCACGCTTTCTCTGTCCAGTCTGTACTTACTCTTCAGAGCTCACCTTAAAAAGAGGCATAGCTAGAAACCCCCCAAATCTCATTGTGTCCTTCAGAACACTCACCACAGTTTTTACTCGTGTTTGCGTGTTGCAAGTTGCAGGACAAGGAGCTGCTTTGTAAGCACTAAACTCCAGGTACCTAAACCATGCACGTGGTAGGTAGTCAGTAAATAGTTGAATGGAGTTTTGAATTCTCCCATCACTTACTCCGAACCATTTCTCGTTCATATGTCCTAATTGATGGCTTTTCGCATGCTTTTCTAGTTCCCTGAAAGGTGGTTGCCAATCCAGGCTCTTGGTGCATTAATCATTCAGCTCACATTTACTGATGTCAGTAGACATTGACAAGGTTTCAGAGACGCCACCCATTTCCTTTAGGAGCTTACAGTCCAGAGAGGTTCTTTTGGCTATTTTTTGATGATGGTTAAAACTTACTCTGTCTGGGTCTGTGACTTCTATTAAGTAAAAGCCTGAAATGAGGTTTATGAAAAAGTGCAGTGATGCAGATAATTTTCAATTTTCACTTAGCTTTCAGAAACATTATGTAAATTTTTTGGCATGGGATTTAGCCTGCTGTTAGGTTTCAGCTACTATTAAAATTGTCTTTCTGACCATAAATTGGTTGACCTTTAAGAAAGTAGTCTAAAAAAGTTATGGGTGTTGTGAGAAAGCCCTGTAGGACTAAGACGGTTTCATGGTGTCCATGCCCCGTGCTGTTCACACAGAGCAGGGGTGGGCTCCTTTTCTCTTACTCTTCCTGTGTTACCCGTCTCCACTCATTCCTTGAGCCCTGTTATGTTTCAGACACTGAACCGAGCAATGTACTGGAGCTGCTTGCTTTTTAGTGCCTAGCCTACGGTGGATCTTTTTGAAACAGTTGTTTAAAATCCACTGAAATCATTTACTCACTTTTAGTGTTTTGCTGACCCCCCTCTTCTGGATAGCATTGGAAATGTTTAATCATCTTACTGATATCTCTATAGTTCTCTTTATTGATAATTAGTTCTGCCTGAGGCAGGCTATTTGAAGAGATCACTGGTTTTCCTTAATTTATTTTGGCTTGGCTGGGAATGGCCTGGAAAAATGAATCTGTGATTTCTCATCACACCTTAAGGGGATGGAGCGGTAGTGGTCTGGTCATAAATACACAGCTGAGCATAAGACACTGCTGACAGGTCAGAGAAAACCCAAAAAAATAAGCTTAGAAAGGAGAGCAGCTTCTTAATGTCCAGAACACTGTGAACCCTTTATCTGCTGTTAAATTGAGCATGGCTTTCAAGCCATGCCTCCTAATTAATTTAATTCAGTGTTCTGGCATCAATAAGTAATTGAATTATAAAAGAACTCAGTGTAACAACCTAGGACATTTTGTTGCGGAAAGATTCATTGGAGAATAGAATAATTCAGTGATTGAAATAGGGATGTTTGATGTTCCCAACCGGGAATTAAGGGTAAAGTATGGACTTTAACAGACCACAATAAACCTAAAGTGAACTGTTGACTATCATTCTCATGGTCACTGTCAGCTGGGGTGCAGGATTTAAGCTTGATACCAGAACATTCTGAAAACCATCAGTTCCTTCCTGGCCTCCCCCAAATAAGCTTCTGCTAAGCCCCTAGAATCAGAAGAACATTGTGGTGAAATTGTACTTCCAGTGTGAGATAGCCCAGGAAGCCGCAGGCTGCCGACCCAGGGGTCAGCTAAGGCCGTAAGATTGGAGAGCCTGAATAATTGGGTTCAGGTTAGCTGGGCTAAGTTATGCTGAGACTTTCAGAGACCTTAGGTACATGTTGGTCTCTTTGCCATAGTTGTAGCCAGCTCATAGTGAAAGGCATCATGTATAACTCTCTCTTATGAGTACAGATTATGTAAGCACCACGCTTCTGTCTCCTAAGGAGGACTGTGGGTGGACAAAATTGGGCATTTTACCCCTTCTTGAATAGTGTAGACAGGCCAGGTCCCACGTTTAATGGGGTCACATTGTTGCGGAAAGATTCATTGGAGAATAGAATAATTCAGTGATTGAAATAGGGATGTTTGATGTTCCCAATGGGGAATTAAGGGTAAAGTATGGACTTTAATAGGCCACAATAAACCTAAAGTGAGCTATTGACTACCATTCTCATGGTCACTGTCAGCTGGGGTGCAGGATATAAGCTTGATACCAGAACATTCTGAAAACCATTAAGCATCCTACTTAATGAGGGGTACCCTTAGCTTTATTTTACAGAGAAGATAATGGATGCTCAGGCTGGTTAAGTAATTCACCAGGCCCTGGAGTGTATGGACCTTGCCCTGAATCATGTTCCTTAATAGAGACGGGGCTGCTGCGTGAAGCAAACAGTTCTCAGAGGGCAGGATTAGCACTTATCCAGAGAGAGAGGGCAATAATGAGCACCCAGAAAAAGATGTGTGTGACCCAACTTATGTTCAGAATAATTCTGAAGGGGAGTGTGTGCTCACTTATGAGACAGGTGAGATTGGTATTGTTGTAAATCTTCCTTTTCCTGGTGAGGAAGTTGAGGGTCACAGAGATTATATTACCATGGTCAACACTTGTTATGCATGGAGTTGCATTTCTGTAAATTATCTTATTCCTTTTCCTGGTGAGGAAGTTGAGGGTCACAGAGATTATATTACCATGGTCAACACTTGTTATGCATGGAGTTGCATTTCTGTAAATTATCTTATGGGTCAAAATTGTAAAATGGGAGGTACATGAAACCCAATATCAGATAATTTGTTTGCACTGTAGCTGCAGAGTGAACTTATATATTCTACGCACACTAGTGTTCAGATCGGATTGGACCCTCTTGTGAAATGAATTGTGACCAGCACCCACTGACCCCTTGAATCTGCTCAGCTCTGTTCCCCGCTGATTGTCAGTACTGAGTTCACCCCTGTAAAACCAATTCAGCCTTGAACCTCACGTCTAAAGGTTGGAATTGCCGTTTTTAGCTTTTCTTTAGTTTTTGTTTCTTGTTTTTGTTTTTTTTTTTCCTGTAACCACACTTTAAACATATATACAAATTCAGCTCTATGCATCATGAGAAAACAATCACTAGTGGATACCTACTTGAGGTGAGCTGCCAGGGAGCAAGAGGAAAGAAAGTTCTGTGAAATGAAGTATGAGAGTGTTGGGGGCTTCTTAGTGGTTTCCTGAAATTAATCTGACTTTGAGGACATATAAAAATTGCAAAAAAAAATAAAGCAAATATAAGGAAAGTCAGTTGTTAGGGAATAGAAATTATTTCTTAGTGGGCTCTAAATGAATCTTGAAAAACTCATTCTCTTAAGTTTTATTTACCATTTCCAGTGTCCTCTGCTGAGGGAGAGCATTGACTTTCTTTTGTGTGTGACTCTGAAGTAGGGCAAGTCCTTAAAAATAGCATTGGTGTGGAATTTGGGGTTCATTTCTCTCAGGGTTCAGTTTCTCTAGGTTGAATATCTGTTGTTTGTAGTGAGGTTGGAAGTGTAATTTCTTTCATGTACTGATAAGAATAAGGTTTGCAACCTGTTTTATTTATGAAATTGGTACATTTATGATAAGGCAGAATAACTTACTTAACAACAACTGGAGAATATGTATATGAGCTTCAACCAGAGGCAGAGACCCTCTTTTGGCAGGATCTTTAGAATGAATTGGAAGTTACAAAAATTTTAGTTTTCTAGGACATAGATGTTTATTGAGAATGATGAACTTGTGAGTAAACTTAATAACTAAGTAGTTTTTGGGGACCAGGAAGGGGCAGAAATTAACATTAGATTTAGAGCACAGTTATTTTCTGTTAATCACTCTGTTTCTAAGCTCTTAATAATATTAAGGCAAATAGAAGCAGCTTTGTTTTCTTTTGTGTGTGTGTGTGTAAAAAACAGCAAAAAATCAGACTGACAGTACGTATGGTTACATGAACAATTCTGAGATGAAAAGGAGCCAGTTTAATTGCATGTGCAAACTAAGGCAGATGAGAAATGGAAGAGTAATATATGTACTTCTAGAGTTTTAGGGAGAAAATTAGTTTTTAAAAGAATGTACGGTTTTCTTATCACATTAAATAACAGAATGGGGTATGTTATTGAGCTTTTCATTTTCTTTCAAGGTAGCATCATTTTGTGTGATTTCAGTTTGCGGCCCCAGGGTGTTTGGGAGAGGGGCGGGGAGTCACCAAGAAGAGCAGTCAGCAAGAGAGTTTATCCTTTCCAATTCTTGAAAAATTTGGAGCAGTTGTTTCCTCCAAATGTATAACTAATGATTTTATAGTTTTCTAAGGCTCAAGTCAGGATTTTCTACCATTGCCTTTCTACTTGCTGACTGGCACCGGAAAATTACTAAAAGTGAGAAGTGAAAATTGGCCAGTATTGAATGGCCAGCTCAGTAGCCTTCCAAGATTTTCTTCCCAGACAGCTTATTTTTGCCAGGTAGTTCACTGTGCTGGGGAGCAGTAGGTGGGTGTTCACATGGCAGAGATTGGAGAACACTGTGGGTTTTAGGGGTTTGTTCAGAAGGGGATTCTCGTTTGCGGGAAAAGCTTGCTTTGCGGGTACAGATACCGTTTTGGTTTCCTATGGCTGCTCTAAAAATTACCACGAGTGGGGTGGCTTAAACCAATACATATTTCTTCCAAAATACGAAATTTCAGAAGTGTGAAGTCAGTGTTACTGGGAGAAATCAAGTTGTCCGTAGGCCTCCTTCTGGGGAGCCATGGTGAGACCCTGTGTCTTTGCCTTTGCAGGCTGCTTGAGCTGCATCCTTGCATGCCATGGCTCATGGACCCCTCTCCATATTCAGAGCCAGCAGCACAGCTTCTGGCTTCAGTGAGTACGTCGCCTTCCTCTATGGTAAAATCTCCCTCTGTGCCCCTCTTGTAAGGACACTTGGGATACCTTTAGGGCCCACTGGATAGTCTTGGCTCATCTCCCATAATGCATCTGCAGTGGTCTGTTTGCCATGCAAGGTAACATACAGATTCTGGGGAGTAGAACGTAGATGTCTTTGTGCTGCTCTGTAGCTTCCCACAGGCACCAAGGACTTCTGTACCCTTGAGACCCATGACTGAGCTAGTGCCTAATGCTCGGAGGTATACAACTGTAAAATTTAAGTTTCTTGTAACTTGCAAAATTACATCTTGGTTGTTATCTAAAAAGAAAATAGGGATATTCCAGGGATGAAGGAAATAGTTTGGTTCACCATAATAATTCTGGGTATGAAAACACCACACGTAAGTTCAAAGTACTTTGGAAATCACATGACAGACTTAAGAGAGGTGCTTTAGAGGTTTTATAAAGAGTTCAGTAGGCAGCAAGTGTAGCATTAAGGGCCTTTCTGGCAGATAGGATAGTAGGAGCAAGGTCCAGAGATGGGAAACCAGAGCCTTTGTTCAGGACATAGCAAGGAATAGTTGAAGCAAGGAGTAAGGAAAAGGAGGTTGTTGTGGTAGGCTGGCTCTAGGTGCCAGATGAGGAATGTGTAATTTGTCAGTCTAGGAGAGTGGCATAGGATCAGCTGGTTTGGGGAGAGGCAGGTGGTGAGGAGACCACTATTCCAGAAACCATAGAAGGGCCCACGTTAGGGGTTTATGGCAGAGTGAATGGAAAGGAGAGGAATTCTGGAGAACTTGTAGGACTTTGGCAATTGAACATGAAGCATGAGCAGGGAGGGGGTAAAAGAGTTAAAGGTAACTTTAAGATTTCAAGTATGGGTAACTGGAACAAGAAAGTTGTTCATAGGACAATGCTTTAATTTATGCCAATGCATTTAGGAGTTAGGAGAAGAAGACAGTGCAATAGAGGAATGATCCGAGATGTAGGCAAAGAACAAGGACCATGTGGTGTCTGGGAGGCAAGAGAAGAGAGAATTTTGAGAAGGAGAATTGGTTCAGTAGGTTCAGATGCTGTGGAAAGGTGGGGCAGGATAAAGCCTCTGAGTACGGCTGTGTTAGGGGACCCCAAACCTCCCTCAGGCCTGATGAGCTGCTCGAAGGGCTCATAGGACTCAGAAAAGCTGGTATATTCGTGGTTAAGTTTAGTACAGCAAGGGGACACAAACTAAAATCAGCAAAACGGAGAGGCTCATGGAGTAAAGTGCAAGAGAAATCAGGTGTAAGTTCCCGGGGGTCCTTTTCACGGGAGTTGCACAGACGTGCTCACTTCTCAACAATAATGTATGACAACCTGTGAAAAGCAGTGTCACTGAGGGAAGTTCACTGGAGGCTTAGTGTCCGGAGTTTTCGTTAGGGGTTAGTCTCATGGACATTCTCCACATGCATGACTGACCTCAGCAACTCAGCAGACTCCAGCCCCAGAGTAGGAAGGTTCATTATAAATCACACTATGAGCATACACTGTTTAATCACACTGCTCCCATGTGGCCAAAGGCCTCAGGCATACAAAAAATACTCTTACCAAGCAGAATATCCCAAGGGTTCAGAGCTCATCTCTCAGGAGCTGGCTGAGGTCTAGTCCTGAAGACGGCCTTTCTTGGAAGTGTGTAGGGTTTGAGCAACCCCGGCCTGCTGGGTTAATTTTCCTTTCACAGCAATTACCAGGTCACTGGTAGTAATTGAGAAAGGAGTTTCAGAGAAAAGTGATGGGAGAAGCCACAGTACAAATAGTTATAGAGGGACTGGTTCTTGGGAAAGTGGATGCAGGTGATGAGCATTTATATTTCAAGAAAACTGAAAATGAAGGGACAGAGAAAGTTCTGTATCTTAAGGAATTAGTAGCATTTTTTTTTTTAACAAAGAGAAAATGAATATTTTGAAAGAAGAAGAGAAGCAAAAGTTGGAGGGGTAGAAAATGCAAGCACAAGGGAAGTGATAATGATTGGAACGCTACCTTAGAGCCGATAGGGCTTGCTGCTGAAGGGAGGAAGGCCTTTTTTTCTCAGAGATAAAGAGTGAAAAGGAGAGAGTGAGGTGGTGAAAAACCCCAACTATGTATTACCAAGCAGCCCTGCGGTTCCTAAGCACCAGCCAAGGCAGCGGCTGCTAGATGGCTTGAGCATACTTGTGTAGATCCAGCCAGCCGTGAGGCGGTCTGCCCAAGGGGATTTGGACAGTTTACTACCCACTGCACGGCAGGCAGCATGGACGTCGTGTCCACATTGGTTCTCCTGTCCCTGAAGCCCCATGGGGCGATGTGGAGGCAGGCCCGTGTAGATACTGCACACACTCTGGGTCTTTGTCAGCTGAGAGACTCTGGACTTAGGAACCCCTTAATTTTAAAAGAGTGGCGTTAGCAATCCTCTCTGATGAAGGAATATATTCTCTCTTATGCTGGTCTGGACCTGCCCTCTGACCTCCAGAGAAAAGCTCTCTGGCTTCTAAGGCTGTTACATAAATGTCCTTAAAGATGTCAGTAGCCTTTGCTTGGAAGATATGCAGAAATGCCATATATATATGTCTATAAACACAGGAATTTTTAAGTGTAGAATATAAGTCAAGGAAGACCACTCAGTGACTAAGTGTTGAATGATGAATGAATGGAGATCTTTAGGAATTATGCCTGCCTTTGAGAGAGAAAGACTCCCTAGATGATTATTTCTGGAGAGTTTATTCAGCCTGATGGTCATATGTTGTTGGTAGGTCCATTTATAATGCCCATTTCATGTAGTGAAATGTACCTATCCAACTGATGGATAGGGAGCTTGTTTAATATTAAAAATTTTTTTAAAGAGTAAGTTACTGGATGGAAGAAAGAATGGTTTTGAGAAACGTGATGGATTGTAGAGGAAATGTACTAAATTTGGAAAATTTTTTCTTTATGCAGTATGCATTTTACTTACATGAAACAAATTTTGGCTGTATCATTTTAATATGATCCTCATAATGGTTACTGTGTTGTCTTAAAATAGGAGTACTTTGCAGGTGATGTTGAAGAGTCTAATAAAGAAAAAACTGTAACAGCTGTGTTTGGTCCTGTGTGAACCCGTGTTTGTAACAACGGCTTTTATATAAATGGAATCACATAGCTAGGAAGCCATTTTAATGTTCTGTTAGGTTCTTTAAAATGGGGATACATTCAGGTTTCAGTTGTGGAGGCTGTTGAGCAGCAATCCAGGTATGAAAATGAGAAAGTTTGACTGCTTCTCTTGTGAAGGAGACTGAAACACAGCGTGTGGAGAAAGAAGTAAGGGCAGCGAGAGGCAAGTGAGCTTCAAAGCGATTCATCTGCACCCAGGCTGTTCTACTCTGATTCTGATCTGTGTGCTTCTGCCCCCTGCAGAATGAATCAGCCTGACATTTTATCAACTTTTTGAAAAGTGGGGTGAAATGGTATGGAACACATCAGAGGGGGGAAGTCGAGCAAATCTGAAAGAGAGCAGAGTGTTTCATCTCATATCCCATGTGTGCTCCCCCCACCCTTTCTTAGGGAGCCAGCTATGGCTGAACTGATGTTCACCCAATTTTAGTTCATCTTGCTGCCTTCATGTTACACTGGTACTAATATATTTGAAGTTAGAAAAGAGGTCCAAGCAGTTACTGTGTCAGTCACAGTCATTAGTTTTTCTGCAACCCTGTAACCACACAGGATTCCAGTGTTTGCTTTGACTTGGATTTACCACAAAATGACCTTCCTTGGATTTAGTGTGCACCTTTTTAATAAAATCCTGACTTTATGTATATATACATGATACTGTTTTTTAAAAATGTCTATATGAGTCAATTAGGAGTTTCTGGAAGTAGAAAAACATTTTATGATGAGAAATCCTTCTGGTTATCTGAATAAAAAATGGGATAGTAGCAAGTGTAAATGCCAGTGAAATCCTGATGCTGATGTGCATGAATTCATGAATATCTGTACAGTTGAAGGGAATAATCTGTAAACCATGGCTTTCTTAGTATTATGTATCTCTTCATAAAATAACTAAGTTTTCACATGAAAAATAAATTGACTCTTGAAACAAAAATTTTAACTTTAGTGTTCCATTCAAATTATGTACATCTAATCATTATTTTTGAATGCCTTCCAGAAACAGATGGGACCGTGTTCAAAATTCTTACAAAAGCTGAAGGACTTACGGATGCAGATGTACCGTTAGAACTAGTGTTCCACTTACCGGTCAGTTACCCTTCATGCCTGCCTGGCATCTCAGTTCACTCTGAACACCTGACCAGGGCCCAGGCTGTGACTGTGAAAGATAAGTTACTTGAGCAAGCAGAGAACCTTTTGTCAGGACCTATGGTTCACGAACTGATTCTCTGGATTCAGCAGAATCTCAGGCACATCCTCAACCAACCAGAAACTGAAAGTGGCAGCGAAAAGTGTACTTTTGCAACAAGTGTGACAGTGGGTGATGGATTGTGGATGACCCTTTTGCATTTGGATCACATGAGAGCAAAGGCCAAATACGTCAAAACTGTGGAGAAATGGGCTTCCGATTTAAAGCTCACAGGAAGACTGATGTTCCTGGGTAAAATAATACTGATTTTACTACAAGGAGACAGAAACAGCCTCAAGGTGCCAAAAAGTTTAATGTTGAATATGAGTTTGGCTATTTTCTGCTAAAATGGTGTGTTATAAGTATGTTTTATAACAATGGAACACATTAATCTTTAAGATGTTTCTGCTTCCACTATTCCCATGTTAACAGAGCTCCATTTTTGAAAAGAATGTTTTCAACTTCTGATTACAACTACAGACTTGCAAAGCTTGAAGGAGAAGTAGAGTATATTTTAAAAATCATGCCACATAATGACAATGAGAAGTTATAAAAAATGTGCCAAAAAATGTCTATGTCTATAATTAGCTTTGAGCCTCAGTTTTATAAATGTGCACTACAAGTTTGTGCATATTTATATTTTTTCCTTTAGTTAGGCACATCATGGTGTATATTTTTGGGTATTCTGCAAAAGTTTTAACTTTTAGGCAGTTAAAAATGCATTCTGACACTTTGGTTTGGTAACTCATCCCTGGAAAGAGGAGCTAGGTCCTCCTAAGCGGGTTTCGGTGTTGGTGGAAGTAGAGTCATCAGGGCTGTCAGCTTGTCACCTCCTACCTAACTCTTGCTTTCCACCCGACTTGTCTCAGCAGCTGCTTTCAAAATCATCATCTTCAGATTTTTCAAGTTCTCATTCTAACCATATCTAACCTGTTTTATGTGGGACCATACAAGGAAAGCTACTTATTATATTTTAAATCTTAAAAGAGCTACAAATCACTTAAGAGGTTTTACGCTTTCAGATGGGTTTGAGTCAAGAATATTTACAAATTGAATTTATTTGAAACAGACTTAGCTTACACAACCTATAATCTTAAAAGATTTGTGGAATAACGTAGCTTTTTTATGATGGGCTCTTATCACAAAACTTGTTTGGCGTTTGGTTAACCAGATTAGTGCTGGTTTAGGGCATATAGACAAAACAAATAATCCAAACTTCATTCAAATTCTGGATTGGGTTTTGACTAAGGAACCACGTGTTTTAAGGTGACTTCCAGTGTAGCTATAAAACTTGATCCTTTTGGGGACAATACTGCCTGGCAAAGTGAATACAAATTAATTTCCTTGCTCTTACTTCTCCCAAAGGCTCAGCTGTTTCTTTAAGCCTTTTCTCAGGCATATTAAACTAAGTGTTTTACAGATGTTATGACTCAGATTGGACCCATCAGTTAATTAACAAGCATTTATTCATATCAGAATCTTTCTAATATAGAGAAAATTGTACTTGTTATTGGCTGTCCCTAAAATGCCATTTAATATAAATATTTCTGTTATATTTTTATGACTGTATATCAGGATTGAGAATTACAGGTACATATTTATAGATACCATCCAATTTGGAATGGCAAGTGCTATGCCTGTTAACTTCATTCAGACACTGAAACGGGAATAATGATGACAGCTGGTGCTAAGTGTGCCATTGCACTATATGCCAGGCACTCCTTTTACACTTTGCATGTGTCAGCTAACTTAATCATCATAACTTTCCCTAAGGTAGGTACTGTTATGAGTACCATTTTATGGAGTAGGTTACTGAGGCACCAAGGGTCTAGGTAACCAGCCCAGAATCAGATCCAGTGGGCTGTCCAGTCCAGATTTAAATCTTGAGTAGTCTGATTACATCCTTCTTTGCTTCTGCATTCATCAGTACTTTATACTGCCAAGCATGTAAAAATACTGTGTAATTTCCTTACTGCTTGATTCAGAAAGATAGTACTTTTCAAGCATGGAAATAAGCCTGCAGGTTTCTAGCTTTTTTAAAACTAGGAGTTTGTGATTCAGAATAAGATATGTACTTAACATACTGTTTATCATTTAGGAGTACCTGGTTCTTCAGAAAACCTCCAAAGTAGATGTGGATTCAAGTGGAAAGAAATGCAAAGAAAAAATGATGAGTGTACTGTTTGAGACAAAAGTACAGGCAGAGCACAAAAGGTATAATTTAGTACTATTGCAGATGGAAAAGCAACGGAATCGATAATTATACTCTGACAAATCTAGGCATATTCATGAATTTCTCTTGTATAATGCAGGTTTCTGGCATTTGAAGTCAAAGAGTGTTCATCGTTGGATGCGCTACAAAAGGAGTTTGAAACTGCAGGACTTATGAGGCTTTTCTCCGAATTTGTACTTGGGCTGGTAAAATGAAATGGAGGACAGGAATCTTTGAGTGAAATAGCAGTGTTTTGCATTTTTTTTCACTTTTTGTTTGTTTTTTTTTACATTGGATTTTGGGAGGTGCTAATTGAAATACGAGGAAACAATTAAAAACTTTCTCTGAAGCAAAATGATAGTCACCATCTTAACTTCAGGAATGAAAGCCAGTTCTGTTTATAGAATATGAAACAATAAAAATACCCATGTATTCTAATTTTTGCCAGTAAAGGTTGGGTTCAATAGATAAAATGTTATTTGAAAGATAAATATAAAAAGATGCTGGTAAATGAGCCCTTGTGTTTATTCAGAGGATTTGTTTGGCACTGTGCAATTTTCTGGCTCATTTTCTCATAATTAAATCAGTTTTTAAAAGATCTGTTTTCATGTTCACATTTGTATCATTTGATCATGATTTTCCTCCCCTCCAGCTTATCATGGCTAATGTTTTAAGTTGAATGTTAAGAAAAATATAACACTGATTTCTTTGTGGAATTAAATAACTCATTAGTTAGTTTAAACAGAAACCAAAGAAGTTCTATAGAACTTGATTTACAGTTGCTTTCTTTGGGATCCCAGAATAGCAAGGTACTTGATAGTTAAAGGACTAGAAAGTCAATTTAAGTGAAAATTCTTTTTGAAAGCTTTACGTTCCAGTTTTCCAAGGGGAGAAGTGTTTCACACAAAGTGAACTTGGCTTGTTGGATGGGTGAAATTACATAGAGGTACTATTTTCTATTTCTTATGAAATTTGTTCACGTCTGATAACCTTCAGATATATTTATTATGGCCTAAGGAGAGAAGAAGCTGCAAAATAAAAGCTTATATTAAAATCTGTAACAAAAGTGTAAGCAGGCGCTTATGTATAAGAAAGAATCTGTGTGAATAAAGCTACTTGTGCTTCTAAACTAAGGGGCCAGGTGTTGGAAGAAAGCCAAGAAAATCCCTTTCACTGCAGTCTGGGAAGTACAGTGATGTTATAAAATCATCACTGAGATAATGGGAGAGAGAAGGGAAGAAACACTGAATACTATTCAGCATGCTGAATAGTATTTCTTGACTGTACTGGTCTCGGACCACAGCAGTTCAATCTGATTGTCTCCTTTGCAGGCACCTTTGTAATTAAAATACACTTCCTGTTGACCACTTTATGGGGTTGTGCTTATGAGAGGGGATTTTCAGTTCATTTTATCTCATTCCAGGGTATTCACGTTTTTTTTCTGGGGCACCTGGTAAATGTAGTTAGGTTGTTCAATGGGAACAGCATATGGCAAGCTACTGGTGTGCAAAACTAAAAAGAGGCTGAAAATTTGGGGCTGGTCATTATTACTCCTTCATTTAATTTAGTAAGTAATTATATTAAAAGCTATCACCATGAAGGTTGTTAGAGTAGCAGTAGTAGGAGGTTGTGTCTGAATTGTATCACAACTGAACTGCCAGTCCTCTTATCTTAGCTTGACTCTTTGCTCAAGTGTCTCCCACTCCATGCTGTCTGATACTCCTCCAAATTCAGATTTGACTCTCTAGCCCTAGAGAAGAGCTGGAGTCAGGTAAAATTGCATCAGAAGTAGTGACTTTCCTCGACTTAATTAAATTTTTATCTGTTAAAATTATGTAAAAAAAGTATTGGTTATTACTACTTTCTTGGATGTGCACATCTAAGTCTTTCACATACACACATCAGAATGCAAAACTTACCTTGACAGTGTTAGAGAATTACATAAATTTAAGTTGACCTCTGGATAAGAGAAAATTTAAAATTATATGACAAAAGGCTGTAAGAGTCTCTTTGATATTTCTTTAATTTTAGTATTCGAGAAAGAGAATCTTAATTGTTTCCACTGATATTTTTGCATCGAACTCTGATGCTTTCTTTTCAGGTTGAGTGACTTCTAAAAAGATAATTAGAACTTTTGGAAGCTAGAGGAGGTAGGGCTAAGAGCTGGGACCCCTGAAGGTCTAGACTATAGCTAAGCTTTGAGCATTCTGGTAGGTCCAGAAAGTCTGAAACCTTGAACTTGGATTAAAGTAACCCATGATTCTAATGCTCTCCTATTCTCCTAATCTTTAGAGGAAGATAGCATCATCAAATTATGTGGTATCAAACTTTATCTATGAGTAGTTTTTAAATTCAATAACTAGCAAAAGATTCAAGTTAATTGGACTCATGAAGCAATAAGATACTATGAATGAGAAACAACAGAAACAATAGACAATAGAAATAGAACAACAGGCACTCCAGAAAAAGTTATGCTGAATATGTTTAAGGAGATAAAAGCCAAACTTGAAACTGAAATTAGAAATTGTGAAAGGTGGCATGGCATGTATGAAAGCAAAACAGAAAACAACAGGGAGACTGATGTGTATAGGACGAGTCAGCCTGTACCTCTGATCAATGAAGGCTTTCTCTGCCGTGACTGACCTTTGATAAACATTATAAGGGACACAGATATCCTCATATTTTGTGTTCATTCATAGAGGTCTAGGCACATACCTCTTCCCCACATCTCTGCTATTAGTCTTCTGATCTTTCTCTTTCAAAATCCCGGAATATCTGGCCAACCCATTAGCCACGCCCATGAAATACTGTAAATCTGTAACTGTGCATATCTCTTTCCCTGGATAAGCAGACAACCAGAAGTACTGCCCAAAGTTCTGCCCGCTGAGATTTCTTTTAACCTCTACCTTTCTGAGATGCCTAGACTGGAATGTAATTGCTGAAGTGTATTGTGAAAAACCATCTTTATACCAGACCCAAATTCTTTCTTCCTCACAAATTATGGTTATTCCCTGTGACACTATATAGGTGTGGACTGAGGAGGAAGAAGCTGTGTGGTGTAGTTGCTGTAAGCATCTGAGCCACTTGATCATGCAGCTTTCTTGTGCCTTCAGGACCTGCTTGAGCCTAATCCTGTACATACCATCTTTATGTGCCCAGCTTTATGATTTCATGGATGAAATAATACTTGGTTCATGACGGGCAGCTCAGATTACATGGCCAATTGGTGTCTCATGGTCAAGTATTCAATATCTTAAGATCCAGTAGCAAGTTAGGAACTCTTTTTCAAGAGAAGGATGATTATCTACAGAAGAAAGCATGGCTTTGATTTAAAATCCTAGGGTTCTATTGTGCTCATGAGGAGCGCCATACAATAGCACGACAGGCCAAAACTGCACTGAGTGCCACTGGGTCCCCTCGGTCATAAGGCCCAAGTAGTAGGGCAGCTTGTACTATAGCCTGGATCTGCAGCCTTTTCTCACTCTAGGCCCCACTCAAAACAGGCAACTCCGAGAATTAATCAGTAAATGGGGTAGAAAATCACACTCAAAAATGAAATACATTGTCTCCAGAATCCAAGGATGCCTGGAAGCACTGTAACTTAATGATAGGTGTACAGATGAAGTAACTTATCTTTCTCCTTGGGATATTCTGGAATATACCTCAGACGCTGGACCCATAAAAAAATTCACTGTGCTGGTGAACTTCTGAATTTTTACAGGTTTTTATCTCCTTCCTACTGCTAATGCATTTAGAGTTCTTGATACTTTCTGTTCACCAGGTCCTATTGGCACACTGTTTGGTGGGATGTTAAAATGAAGTCCTTGAATGCTGAGTCATGACACAGAGCCAGAGAGTTAATACAGTCCTTAAGTAAGATAGAGCCAGAGCCTTGAAGTGAGAGTGTCAGGCTGTACTTGCTGGGCATGAACAAATTGCTTCTAGCAGTCTTTGAAAATTGATATACCAGAAGAGCATTTGCCAGATCAAGAGCTAGAAACCAGGTACCTTAGGCTATGTTGATTTGCCCCAGTGTAAGACTGCATCTGGAATAGCAATTGTGCTTGGAATCAATAACCTACTTAAATCTGATAATCTACAGTCATTCTCTAAGACCTATTTGCTCCCGCCAAGCCCAATAAGTGAGTTAGGTGGGGATCTTACACTTGGAAAGGGCAGTCTTTTTAACACATGTTCCTGGAACAATTGAGCACCCATATAAAAAAAGTCTTTTTGCTATACTTCAGATAATACCAAGACTAATTCCAGATAGATTACAGATTAAAATGTGAAGGGCAAAATATTTTAGAAGAAAATACAGAAGAATATTTTCTTGATCTTCAGATCCTAGTCATGACAGGACGTAAATACAGTAATCTTAACAAAAAAAAGATTGATAAATTGTACTCCTTTAAAGTTATGAACTTTTCATCAAAAGATACCATTAAAGGTAATGGAAGGGGAAACCACAGAATGAGAAATGGTATTTGAACACATTTTAATTGATACAGGTCTGATTTCCAGAATGTTCATAAGAAACGAGACAATGCAATAGAAAATGGGCAAAAGGATCTTGAACAGGTATTTTACAACTGAGACCACCCAAATGGCCAACTTTTTATGAAAAGGTGCAAAGCATCATTAGTCATCAGGGGAATTGCAAATAAAACCCACAGTGATATCACTAGCTGCCCACCAGTACAGCTAAAAATTGAAAGATGAATAATAACATGGAGCAATGGCAGTACTGAGACACCATTGACAGGAATATAAATTGACCCAGCCAGAAACAGTTTAGCATAGCCTAGAAAAACTGACAATTCCCTACTCCATAACCCAGCATTTCTGTTTGTAGGTATATACCTTACAGAAAGGTGTGCATATATATGTGAGGTTACCTGTACAAGAATGTTTGTATCAATATTTTTAATAGCCCAAGTAAAGCAACCTAAACTGTATCAGCATAGAGTGCACAAATAAAGTGTGATATATTCATGCATTGCAATACACATAACTGAATGAGTGAACTATAGCTACATAGAGCAACATAGATGCATCTTAAAAGAGCAATATTGAAAAAATGAAACAACTGTACATACCACAGGATTCTAAAAGTTCAAAAGCAGGCAAATTGACACCAAATTAATGAATGCATACTCACATGCTAAAACTAAAAGACAAGCAAATAAATTGTTATAATAAAAATCAAGATGGCAGTTACCTATACAGGGAAAGGATGGGGTTGTGGTTGAAGGGCAAGTGAAGGTTTTTCTTTTTTGGGGGGAGATGGCTATGTTCTATTTCCTGAGCAGGCTGCTGTGTTCTCAGACACTTCATTTATAGTAATTCGTTCATAATTAAAATACACTTCAATGTATATTTCTATCCCTATAAAACTATGCTTGACTTTTAAAAATGATAGAGTTACTATAATGTTTTTAGTAACTAAGAAATATATTGAAGATAATTCTAAAATCTTTCTAATTATCAGCAATTTCTCCAATCCTAAAGTTTGGCCAGCCATGTAAAAATTGTAAGGTGGGTTCAGAAGAGTAGGCTACTTTAAGCAGAGTGGTTAGGGAAATCTTCTATAAAAGG